GCGTTTAGGGTTTAGGGGTTCAGGTTCCAGGTGGGGATTTCAGGAGGTTACTAGGCCTTACATTAGGCGGATAGAAGCCATATATGAGCCACAGTCAGTATTTCCTACAGAATTCACTGGACATGGGTTCCCCATCAATACCATCCAGGGGACTATACTAACCTACAAAAGCGACCCCCACGTCCACCCTCAAAGGGTCCCTTAATAAGGTTAGGATTAACAGTAGCTCATATGAGCTATCATCTAAACTCCTAGTATCCCCCTTAATAACCCCTAATATAGTTCCCTATATAATCCCCTATATATCCCCCCTTAAGGAGTTTAGACTATAGCTCATATGAACTATCATCTAAACTCCCAGCATCCCCCTTGAATACCCCTATAATAGTCCCCTATATGGTCCCTCACATAACCCCCCTTTAAGGAGCTTGTCAGTATCTCAAATGGAGACTAGGCGTATCTAAGCGCTATGTAGGTCCTTGAGGAGGGAACCTACCTTACATACCTGGAAACTCGTTAAATGAACATCCATTCCCAGGCTTAACTAGGGGAATACAAGGGTTTAGGGTTTAGGGTCTAGGGTTTAGGAATATATACAGGTGTAGGGTTTAGGGTTCAAAGGTTCTAAGAGCTTAGCGGAGCATCAAATGAACAGGAAAATGTAAACTGGGAGGCTGGCTGGGGTTACCAAACCCCTAGACCCTCACAACCCCAAACCCCAAACCCTGAACCCTGAACCCTAGATCCTAAAGCCAAGCTAAGCAAGAGGTAGTTGCTGGGCCAGTGGATCGCATCCGCAACTGTGCTTCCATGCCTGGGTTGAGTCGCTATTAAGTAACTCAGATGGGGCCCCTTTAAGGGGGCTATAGGGGATAGGGTTTAGGGTTTAGGGATGTAGGGTGTAGGGTTTACGTTTTAGGGTTTAAGCTTTCAGGTCCAGGCCACCAGAATGGAGAATCAAACGGAGAAGACAGATGGAAAGTAGAATGGAAACTGGGAATACATACAACCTGTGTAGGGAATTCAGGGACTTAAAGGAACCATGATAAGGAAACACTATTGCTGTCAGCGGCTCTCCTGCACTTGCTGACCTCTAGCCGTCACGAGGGCAACCGGTTTTGAGCTTCTTGCCGCTGCAGTTTAGAGAAGTTGCCTGAAATCTGAGTCTGCACATGGCTTTAAGCCAGAAGTGCCTCAAAAGGACCCTGCATGGATGCCTGGGAAAAGAAAGGGCGGGTGGGGCATTCCATGCAAGAGACTTAACTATTGAAAGCTTGAGCTTTCGGGCCCACAGGCCTGCAGAGTACACAGCTGCGCGTGCATCCGTCATGCACCACAACTCACTGCAGTTCTGTGATCTGGGTTTTGAGCGCCTAAACAGCAATATCTTGTCATTGCTGTCAGCGGCTCTCCTGCACTTGCTGACCTCTAGCCGTCACGAGGGCAACCGGTTTTGAGCTTCTTGCCGCTGCAGTTTAGAGAAGTTGCCTGAAATCTGAGTCTGCACATGGCTTTAAGCCAGAAGTGCCTCAAAAGGACCCAACATCCCGCACTGGACGCACTCCTCCAAGCGGCCGAAAACACAACAAAATCTGAGCACGCTCCAGATGTGCTATCCAGATATGAACAGAAAAATCAGGTTTCACGAATGGGTGCAGATCGTGAGCCCACCCTTCAAAGCACAACTCCAAGCTCCACCCACAGCCTGTCGAAGGCAGCGACTGGGGAAGTGAGCCAGCCGCCACTCGCTAAGAGCCCGGTACTCTGAAGGAGAGCGTCAGCGACGCAAGCTCACAGGAACTCAAGGGAAGTCAAAAATCAGCTTTGCACTAACTAAGCAAGAAAGGGGGTCACTTCTTTAAGGCTTTCTTAGTGGCTCTCCGTATGCCCTTCCCCCGTGAAGGCCCATCAGCCGGGTTCGACTCGGAGGGTATGTATAGCAATCTCAGCAAAAGGTTGCAAGCAAGACAATGCGCAGCTGTACTTCGAAGGACTCGCCGCAGTGCACGTGCCGAGCTCCTGCCTTTCAAGATGCTGCCGATAGCTGCTTTTGCATCCACCAACAGAACTGCTCTATGACTGTGCCGCGCGCGACTCCGACAGATCCACTTGACAGTAAGCAGCACCCCGTGACACTCAAGAAGGCCTGAGTGCGCTGGCCACTTAGCTCGGCTGGAGACCATCTGCTTGAAATCACGCTTGTGGAAAGGAAGTCTGCAGGGCAGTCCAAATCTCGGCACTTCAGGTTGATCATCGGGCTCGGTCAGCAAGCGCACATAGTCTCCACGTCGCTCTGCCAGACGTCCCACATCCTCTACCACTTTGGGACCGCAAGGAAGCGAACACACGCCAAAGCCGAACTCAGGGGCAGCATCGCAAGCCAAAAGCTCACTGAGGAAAGGCCTGTCCAAAGCAGCAGGCAACAGCGGCATCAGCACCAGTCCAACGAGCAACTCGTTCTGCACTTGCTTAGGCAAACTTTGTGGCTGCTTCTGAGCATCGCGTCGCACGAACTCATACACGGAATCGAAGATGCTGAACATGCCTCTTTGCAGTAAGCAAAACCACTGCTCTATTCCCAGAACTGAGTTGACAGCATGTGGGCTGCCAGTTGGGGTCTCCAGCAAGTCACACAAAATGGCAACTAACTTCGCCAGCTTTTGCTTGCAAGGCTCCACCAAAGGTGGGGTCGTGGAGATGTCACATCCCAAGGCTGTCATGCTGCTTGCCAGGGAGATGTCCTTATCACAATTCCGCGCTATTCCATTTCTGCCAAAAGCCTGGTCCAACTTTGTCAAAGTTTTCTGACCACGGTTCGGGCACTTATGAAACAGCAGTGTGTCATCAGTGGCAACCGCGCACAGCTCCACTTGTGACGTTGGCAAAGCATGGTCCAAACTGAGAATTGCACTGGGCTTCACACCTGCCTCCAAGAGAGCTCCGAGGGTGTTGGACTGGGCCACGCAACTGGACCAGCTAAACCCCATGGGCCATACTGTGTGCACAGGGTAGAGCAAGGTGTCCGGCAACAGGTCCTCAGCGCTAGCCACATCGTCCACTAGCGTGAGCAGCTGCTTGTGGCTGAACTTCCCAGGCCCAATGAGTTCCTGCACCTTGACAGGCTCCTGCCCAAACCATGGCTGCAGCTCTGGGGGAACCGCGAGTGTGTCAAAGTATGTCGCAGCATCCCGCTTGGACAGGTACAGCTTCTCATCTGGACGAACAAGTATGTCGAGGAAAGAACTTGGATTTGCAAGCCGCTCTGGTTTCGGGGGGCGCGCAGCCTGACTAGAGATAGCACTGCCATCCCAAATCTTTCGTTGCCGACCCTTGCTGCGCTTAGCAGCTGCAAACACTTTAGCGACTCCACGAACTTGTAGCCGCAGGCGCCCGCAACTTTCCACACAAGAGCTCCCTGCAAGTGAGTTTGAGGTACTCCCTTCTGTCATGCCCTTTGCTGCTGAGAAAAGCCTCGTCAACTTGAACCTCGCTGTTTGTAGGAAACACGATGCCCGGCGTGCATACAGCATGCCATAGCTCGGGGTCCACCAGCCTTTGAGGATCACAGGTGGCCGCTTTAGACGGCAAGTCCACGTCCTTGCCCCGAAGAGATTCATAGCCTCCTGCAGAGCTGTTTGCTTCAAGTGCCTGCAAAGCTCCACGGTACATGAACGAGGTGGTAGTAGTGGAATCCAATCTGCTCAGAAAACGAGATACTCGTGTGCACACCTGTTCCTGAACCGACTGCTGGGCTTTTGTGCTGCCACGCCCCCTTGCGTCAGAGGGCTTGTCGGGCATTCCAGCATTCAAGTGGTTCAGGGCAGCTATGGCCAAGTTCGCGCAAGTTTGGAGGTCGACCAAAGCATTTCCCTGGGTCGGCACCTGCTGTGGCCACTCTGCTATATGTGGCACTGGAAAAATGTCACGTCGTCTGCGGCTAGCAGTTGACTTGCCATGTTCACACTCCCCAGCTCTAAAGGCAAAAGCCACGGGCAAATCAGACGCTTTGAAGAAATTCTGCAAGAATAGGACGTACCCTGTTGAAAATGAAGCGGCCTCCACTTCAGCATGTTTCGGAAGGTTAGTGCCATTTGCCTCATGACGGTTGCTCCGGAATGCAGCTGCCAAATGTGCACGCACCCTACAGCTGATCTTGAGTCGTACTGCCCTCCGCAAGTTTCTGCGGACGCGGGCCGGAGAAGAGCTTTTCATGTCCCCCCTCAAGCTTGTTTCACTGTGCACCATCTTGTCCATTCCCACAGGGCGGCCAACAGTGCTCAGAAAAAGCTGAGGTCTCAAAAAGCAGAGCAAAAACCACCACACCAGCGGGAGCATTCCATGCAAGAGACTTAACTATTGAAAGCTTGAGCTTTCGGGCCCACAGGCCTGCAGAGTACACAGCTGCGCGTGCATCCGTCATGCACCACAACTCACTGCAGTTCTGTGATCTGGGTTT